GCATTGCTTCTCGGCGAGGGCTATCGAGGATCTTCTGGCCCGAGGCGAGACACAGGGCACGGGGCCTTCGCCGAAGCGGCTCGTGCTTCAGGCCCACATTCTCGTGCCTAGCTTGCGGCTGGCTGGAAGGGGCCAGCTTGCCGGAAGGTGCCCCACGTTGCTCTGAGACTTGGAGCACCATGCAGAGTTCGGAGATCGATGCCCTTGGATTTCCTACAGCACGATTCCTCGTCGGTGCGGCGTATGTGTCCCAGGATGGGACACGGATGTGGACCCTTCCCGCCCTCCCGGGCTATGATGTTCACACCATCCTAAGCCCGAATGTCTGCCAAGTGCAAACGAATAACCAAGTGTCCAAGAAGTGTGTTCGACACCCACGCGTTGAAGCATGCGCGCACTTCTGCTCGCATCACGTAGACGCAACAGTTGTACCGCTTACACGTCCGAGCAACGCCAAAGGGACGAGCAGGAGGAGCAGGAGGAGGAGAACGAGGAGGAGCAGGGTGAGGAGCAGGAGGAGGAGGAGGAGCAGCAGGAGGAGGAGGAGAACAAGGAGGATAGACACCCGGCGTAGTGGTTGCACTGTGTGGTCCCCAGATGTCTGCACCCCTTCTCCAGGGCCTGTCCTCCCGAGCCGTCTCCGTGGACGGCCCCCGTGCCCTGACGAGGGCGCCCGGAGGCCCCAGAGCAGTGACTGAAGCCCTCTGCCGCGAGTCTGTCACGGCGCAGGGGTCGGAGGAGGCCAAGGCCGTGCGGAGGGAGTCCGTGCTGAGTGCTCGGCCTCGGTCTGGGCTTACTCCGGTCTGGGCTTAGCTCCTCCTGCTAGGATGCCAAGCCCGTTCGGAGTAGGTCCGCACGGGGTGCTCGGCTTCCGTCTGGGCTGACTCCGTCCGGACTCGGCCTCGCCTGAGAGGGGGCCCTGGAAGCATACGGTCGGGAAGTCTGGTTCGGCGTTTGGCGCCGCTGGTGCTGGCCCACCACGCCTCGGCACGACACGCTCAACGTTTCGAAAGTCCAAAGCGTCAGCGTCCCAAGCCCTTCCCAGCCTGCCGCCCCGCGGGGCGGAGCGACACGCTACCAGCTCGTAGGGCGTAGCGTGTCACCCGGGGCCGCCGCCGCGACACGGTATGCAGAAAAGACGCTCTCTGTGAACAGGTGGGGCTGCTTCTGGACCCCGCCGGCCCTGTCCGCGCCGGCGCCCTGGAGTTCGTGGAGCGCCTGGCGGACTGGGGCTCCGGGTCCGTCTTCGCGCTCGCCTTCCAGCACCCCGATCCGGGCGGCCGCTGGGGCTCCAACAGTCTCCGAGCCAATCTTCAGCGAGTGCCGAAAATCTCGGTTTGAGGTTCGAGGTTTGTCGGATTGTTCGTCGGTTCTCGGTTGTTTTCCAGCCTCAGGATGCCTTCCAGCGGCTGCGCCTCGCCGAGGGCGTTCGGAGGGTGTCCAGATCGTCCCGGACGGCCGAGCTCTGACCAGAAAATCAGGTGCGTGCCTTTGTCGCAGGGGAGAAAGGTAACTACCGATACCGCTGTCCTTCGCTCGTAGCCACGGCTACATTCGCCTCGAAGGTCTGGTCAGAACGCACCCTGAGAGGTCCATGAAGTAGCAGTATTGGTATGTTTCGGTTTTCCTACTTTCACCAGGGTGGCCTTTGTCGCATATCAAAAACCTACATTATCATACATTTCCTGAGGTCCGCACTGTTTTTGTGGGTCGGCGCCGCCCATGGCAGCGCCGTTGGCGCCGGGCGGAGGGGTCAAGCGACGACCCAAACCACGCACACACTCACAAGATTACCGTTACCATCATAGCATTGTAACCACTTTTGCGCATGGTTATGCTAATACCCCGCACGCCTTAATTACCCTCGCCAGCATCACAAGCACCATGACAAGCGCAATCAACAACACCTTCACCATCATCACCATCATATCATGGTCGTCATCGTCGTCATCACCACTATCATTACATATGTGTTTGTGTCTCTCTCTCTCTCTCTCCTTTCTCTCTCATGCTCACATTCACAGGGTTATTATCACCATTATCATCATGATCAGCTTCCCCACACACACACACACACACAAACACGCACACACGCACACACACACACACACACGGTACCCTCGCTTGTGAGTGGATGGCAAGGAAAGTTCAAACAGGCGCCCCCTCCCAGATAATGTTCTAAATCGGAGGGGGTGATCCTTAACATGTAACGGTCGGATCTCTGGGACGCCTGAAGCTTAGACATTGACGAAGTCTCGAGCGGGAGCCTCGTCCGTGAGCAAATCCGAAGCAAGTATCAAACGGAGGCCCCCCTCCCCATGAGCCCCCCTTTAATATCGCCGCTGACTCCGAGGGGGACGTTTGAACTCCTGAGGCTTGCAGCTGGCGGAGAGCGGTAGCCTCGTCCGTGAGTGAACGGCGAGGGGTCTCAACCGAGAGATCTTCTCAATAGGGGTCTCGCAGGTCGCACGGGCCCGACAGGTCGCACAGGCCCCATAGGTCCCGCAGGTCCCACAGGCTCCGCAGGTCCCACATGCCCCGTGGGTCCCACAGGTCCCTCAGGCCCATCAGACCCCACAGGCACCGCAAGCGCCGCAGGTTCCACAGGTCCCACACAGACTGCACATGCCCGACATGTCCCGCAGGTCCCACGGGTGCGACAGGTCCCACAGTTCCAAGTGGCCCAACAGGTCCCACACGTCTCGCAGGTCCCACACGTCCAACAGGCCCCACAGGTCCCATCTGTCCCACAGGTCGCTCGCACAGGCCCCACAGGCCCCACATATCCCTCAGGTTCCACAAAAGGTTCCACAACACTTAAACAACAGACAGGTCTCACAGGTCCCACAGGTCGCACGGGCCCAGCGGCCTCACAGGTCGTACATGACCTACACGTCCCACATGCCCCACAGGTATCACAGGTCTCACAAGCGCCTCCAGGGCTCACAGGTCCCAACTGTCCCACAGGTCCCGCATGTTCCACAGGTCCCACAAGGCCTACAGGTCCCACAAGTCCCACAGGACACACTAGTCGCACAGGTCGCACAAGTCGCACAGGTCCCCGGGGCCTTCATGCCCCACTGGAGGATGTCTCGAGCGTGAGGCCCGTTCTTGAGCAGGTTGGGAGAATGTCCTGGGCTGAGGAGGGGGAGGGAGGAGAGCGAGGCGGGAGGTGGAGGAGGAGGAGGAGGAGGAGCAGGAGGAGGAGGAGGAGGAGCAGGCCGTGGTCGGCAGCCCGTCACATTCCTGCCCCATCCTCTATGAGGCCCCCCCGACCCTCACGGACCCATCAGGACCCCTGGGGCGTGGGATTTGTCACCACACGTGAGGGACAGCAGCTCACGATCGGCAACGCCCGCTTAAGGACCACTATTCATTTCCTTCGGCTGGCACGGGTGCACCAAGTTCCAGCGATCATGGAACACCCCGCGCCGTGCACTTGGAGGGAGGGGAGTCCCGTCTCGTGCATCGTGAGGGTGTCAAGGCCCACACTATACACCAATGCGCATTCGGGGGAAGATCCAAAAAGCCCACGATGCTCATGGCTGTACATGTGCCAGCCATGCAGAGATGGATCAACTCCATGAGAGCCCAGGGCCGTTGCACCCGTGACCACCCTCACGTATCCTTCCAAGGTCTTGAGGCGGACGGGGCTTGGGCCTCCTCTGCGGCCAAGACATATCCTGCCTGGCTCTGTCATTTTCTCGTGGCCACGGTTCTGGAGAGATTTCCCCAGGTTCGTGCAGGGGCCCTGGTTCGGTCTCATAACCCCCTTCTTGAGACTCCAGGTTGGACTGCCCATCAGGATGCGGCTTTGTGCAGGCGACTGGGATTAAATCCATGTGACGACGGTTGGCAATTGCCACAGGAGCTCAGACGGTCCATTGGGTCCGTATGTCATCTCGAGCGTCGCCATGGATTGTGCATTACATGCCCCTCGGGTGCGGCGCTAGCAAGGACTCACTTTATGCCCCCCCCCCCCCTCCTGCGCCAACCCCCCAGACCATCGGGCAGTCCAGATAAGGTAAGGGCTCTCTTGTGAAAGGATGCTGCGATAAGCATGTCGCCGCCGTGCACGTCCACTAAAAAGGCAGTAGCAAGAGAGTGCGCCAAGCTTACTTGGCGCGCGACATTGTCAGTAACCGATTCTGTAGGGTGAAGGACTATTTCTGTTCCCCCTCTTTGCTCCTTCCTTTCCGATCTGTGTCGCGCACGTTAACTGCAGTAGCCCGTTGCCCGCGATCAGCTTAGGTCGTACTTGTGCCGTGCTTGCAGGCAGCAGCCCTTGCTGCCGCCGCCACCGCTTTTCCCCGTTCTCTCCTTCTTTTCACCTGTGGTTAGGCATCGACATCGTCCGCCTCATACCGAATCGAATCGAATCGAATCGAGGAGGAGGAGGAGGAGGAGGAGGAGGAGGAGGAGGAGGAGGAGGAGGAGGAGGAGGAGGAGGAGGAGGAGGAGGCTGAGGAGGAGGAGGAGGAGGAGGAGAGGAGGAGGAGGAGGAGGAGCAGCAGCAGTAGGAGGAGGAGAGGGTGGAGGAGGGAGGAGGAGGAGGAAGGAGGTGGAGGAGGGAGGAGGAGGAGGAGGAGGAGGGAGGAGGAGGAGGAGGCGGCGGAGGAGGAGGACCCGGATTCTTGGGATCTTCCTTGGGATCCTCGTGGCGGAGCGCGCGGGAAGCCATAGCAGGCGGCCTGGTCGCCGCGCTGGTGGAGGCGTGCCTCCAGGCCGCCCGCGGGGAGCGGCCGGAAGGCGCGTCCGAGGCGGGCCCGCCGCGGCCGGGGCAGCTGCAGCCTCGTGCCCCGCCCCCCTCGGTGATGAGCGTTTTTTTCCCAACCATCCTGCGGTGTTGGGTCCCCGTGTTGAGGAGACGGTCCCCGCGTTCCTCCTGCCTCCTTCCTTACTCCCTCCTCCCTGCGTTTCACCCACCCAGTACGGCGTATCGTGGCCCCACAGGGAGCTCCTCCGAAGCCTCCAGTGGGACCGTCCGGGACGCATGAATGTGGCATTTTCATCGCCCCAGTACCGCGCTTCGCGGTCCCAGGGAGCTCCACCGAAGCCCCCAGTGGGACCGCCCGGGACGCATGCATTTTGCACTTTCACCCACTCAGTACAGCAAATCGGGGCTCCACAGGGAGCTCCACCGATGCGTCCGGGACGCGTGAATTTTGTATTTTCACCAACCCAATACAGCGTGTTTCGTGGCCCCACAGGGAGCTCCACCGAAACCCTCAGCGGGACCGTCCGGGACGCATGAATTCGGCATTTTCGCTCACCCAGTACAGCGCTTCGGGGCCCCATATGGAGCTCCACCGAAGCTCCCAGTGGGATCGTCCAGGACGCATGAATTTGGCATTTTCACATACCCAGTACAGCGCTTCGTGTGCCCATAGGGAGCTTCACCGGACCTCCCCAGTGGGACCGTCGGGGACGCATGAATTTGGCATTTTCACACACCGAGTACAGCGTTTCGGGGCCCCGCAGGGAGCTCCACCGAAGCCCCTAGTGGGGCCGTCTGCATGCGTCCCGGAAGCCGAATGTGGCATTTTCATCCACCCATTACAGCGCGTCGTGGCCCCTTAGGGAGCTCCACCGACGCCCCCAGTGGGACCGCCCGCATGCGTCCCACACGCTGGCATTTTCACAGTACAGCGCTTCGTGACCCCATAGTAGGGAGCTCCACCGACGATCCCAGTGGGACCGCCCGCATGCGTCCCACACCCAATTTGGCATTTTCACCCACCGAGTACAGCGCTTCGGGGCCCCATAGGGCGCTCCACCGACGGCCCCAGTGCTACCGCCCGCATGCGTCCACCCCCCACCCAGTGCAGCGCTTCGTGGCCCCATAGAGAGCTTCACCGAAGAAGATATTCACAGTTGCGGTACCCACAACTGCATATGGTTGGGCCCTTCGCCAGGATCATTCTATTCTCCCCCTTCCCAGGGTAACGCTCGTTGCTCAGGCCACCCCCCCTCCCCATCCCCAGGTAACGCCAACGATCGTGCTGGGTGGGTGGGTGGGTGGGGGGGGGGGGGGCTGCCCTCCCTGCATGCTGGGGGCATTGTGCCGGTGGCATAGACGCACGCTGGCGGGTGCGCGCCGCGGCCGCCGTTACCGTGACGTGCCCTCCCGCCCGAGACCCCCTCCCCCTCCCCCAGGTGACGACCGTTACCCGGGAGAAAAACGGTCACCATCGAATGGGAGTGCGATTGGAACCGATGTTCCCAAACATTGAAGCGTCAGTCGGAAATTGCTGGAAAGTGATAGTGTTCTCGTAGGTCTAGTCTTTTTGTGCATGTTTTGTATATTCGACAGTTCCGGGGCAAATCCATTATGCAGTCAGTCCACTACTCGAATCTGCACCTCCTCGCCACGTTCAAGTTGGAGCCGCCTTGCCCAGCACCGTTCCCGGCCGGCTCTGTGTGCGGGAAGGCTTTTTTGGTTTTACCCGTTGCGGCCTCCAGGGGGCCGTCTTCGGGTCCTTTGGCCGTCAAGAGCGGGTCCGGGGTGAAGACTCGCACGGGATGGACCCCGGGAGGCGTCCGGGATCCGTGCTTGAGCGGCTTCTCGGGGCCCATCCAGTACGGTCGGACCGAGGCATGAGATCGAGGTCGGTTCGGGGAGGGTGCCCTCGTCGTGTCTGCTGGGCGTTCTCGTGCATCCTGGGGAGGGTCTCCTTGGATGTTCTATGTGTCTTGGGCGACGGATGGTCTCACGTGCCTGAAGGGTGTCCTTCAGTCCCAGGTCCGACCGTACAGACCCCCCGACCACCTCTGGCCCCCTGGCGCTCCCGACCTCCTCGCGTCGTGGCTGGTGTCGCTCCAGCACAGCACCCTGACGGCAGGAAAGAGGGGATGGGGCGGGTCGAGGAGCGGGAGGCGGGCCAGTGGCAGCGTGCAGTCCTAAGCATTCCTAGGGTGCCCCAGGGCGCTGACAGTGATCCGAGATATTCCTAGGTATTCCTATGGCATTCCGACATTCCCAGGGCATCCGAGGGGCGCTTACAGTTTTCCTCGGCATTCCGATGATATTCCGTAGGGTATCCGAGGGTATTCCCAGGATAGTCCGAGGTGTTCCTGGGCAGCCGAGGGAATCCGAGGGGTGGGAGCACGGCCATGCGCATCGCAATCTTTTTTTTGCTCACGGATCGTGGCCCGAGACAGGGGTGAGAGCACGGCCCTGTGCACCGTGGCGCATTTGTTTACAAGGGGTCTTGGGCGTCGGGACCAGCAAGTGAACTTGGCAATGAGGCGATAACAGGATTCCTGAATACTGGCGAGGCTGATTAGTAGGTCGACCTTGCCAAATCAAGAGTACCTTCGTGTCATGTGTTTCGCGACCCACATGCCCTCTACATTCCTATGGCAATGTGGCCCTCGGAAGGGTCTTGTGTCCATTCGCGTGTGTCCATTCGCGTGTCCTCTCCAATCAGCCCCGACTGTACACTGTGAGGCAGTCTCCCCAGTGCGCCGTAGCGTGTTTGTTCACAAGGGGCCGTGGCCGTCCGGACCAGAAACGTGAACTTGGCAGTGAGGCGGGAGCACGACGTCCCGAATCCACTGTGAGGAAGTCTCGGGCGGAGCGGTTCCCAGAGCGGGCGATCGATAGAGAGGCGGTCCAGGGCTCCCGTCTCTCCCCCGTTGTGCTTTGAGCGGTGTGCAGTTGCAGTAGCAGCAGTAGATCAGTTCGGCGCTTCGGACTATTTGCTGTGTGTGTGTGTGTGTGTGTGTGTGTGTGGGGCCCCCGTGGATCTCTTTCCCGTTGCTGCTTTTCCTGGTAGCACCGTGAGGACCCTCTGGCGAAACGCTATGCGGAACGACCCTCGCTGGGCCCGAGGACCTTCAGCAAACGAAGAGTTGGGTACGTCGCAGGGTAATTTTTATGTTTGGCACATGGGGGCCCTCGCCAGGCCCCGGGACCGTCAGAAATCGACTCAGGATGAAAAACTGGGCCGGGAAAGGGTCTGGACTTCCTGGGACGCCGTCCTGAAAACATCAAGACGTCGCATGTCTGGGGATGAGCAGCCGTTCCTGGGGAAGGGGTCAAGACCGTGGGGGGTCGACGTTGCGGGCAAAGTCTAGCGTCTAGGGTGTCTGGGCAGGCTGGCCCATCGGCACGATCGAGATACAGGCCTCGGAAAAATAGCGAACACTCATTCCACATTTATCTGTCAACGCCCCCCCCCCCCGCCCCCTACTGTTCAAAGTTGGCACTTCGACCGCAGTCTCCCCCGCGCGTGCCAACTTTGAGTTTTGGGGGAGGGTACTTGTTTTCCCTCTACCGCATGGGTGTGGCAATGACCGGAAGAAGTTTCTGCCCATTCTGAGCAGGGCTCGTTGTCGGCGCCGCCGCGGACGCCATCCATTGGAGGCAAAGAGTCGCCTGTCAAGCATCGGCCGGTGCCGGTTGTGGGCAACCTTTTCTGTTTGGCATCGCAACGATGCTAGTCTCACGTGCGATCAACATATTGACGCCCTTCCCGCCCATCCCAGGCACTCAGGGAATTGAAGGAACTCGAGGCGTCCGGCTTTTGATCATGTCTGGCCTCTGGGATCGGCTTCTGCGCCTCATCACGGCCAGGAAGGTGACGGTGTGCCCAGGCATCCGCCGACGTGGTTTTCCAATCCGCGGCCCCAGCGGGCCCGACCGCTTCCCAGGGGCCAGCGTGTCGCCCCGAATCCATGTCTGAGGGCCCCGGCAACCGGGCCCGGAGGTGGAGATCCAGGAGCAGAAGCAGCGAGCGGAATGGGGAGAGCGTGGGATGGCCAGGCCTTCGACACCTGCAGGGGAGATGGCCTTGGCATGGCCCAGCGTTGGGCGTTCGTGACAGTTGCAGGCCACGGCTCCGCCTCCAGACCTGCCCGGCTTTGCGTCAGGACGGCCTGGTGAAGGGCTGCCAGCGTAACAGCAGCAGCAGCTGCAGCAGCCACTCGAGCTCTCGACAAGTCGCGGATACCCCCTCGCGTGTGACAAGGTCACGACGGGAGGCCCCCGGGGGCCTTCGCCGGGCCCCAGGTCCGTCGAAACACGATTCAGGAAGAAACGGCGGTCCCCAGCAAGGGGTCCAGACCTGTAGGGGTCCGATAAAAGATCATGACGTCTGGGGCTTGGGGATCAAGAGATTCCCCGATTCAGTCTCCCACCCTGAGATCCCACGTTGCGAACAGTTGCAGCTCCGCGGAGAATCCAGACTGGAGCCGTAGACCATGTATCTCTGCTGCAGCTTCCAAGCCACATCGACCCGTGATGGCCCCGGAGCCCGGAGCCCGACGGAAGCGGCCGGTGTGAAAGATAACATCGCGCGGACCTCCGGGCTCATCCGAATCGGTCCTCATCTTGCCGATGCCTTTCTGTGCGATGGGCTGCCCCCCGTAAGGTGGTGGAAGGAGAAGCGGCACCACCACCACCAGGGGGGCCAGCGAGGAGGTCCACGATGCCTCCCCGAGCTGGGGACAGGGGATGTCTCGAGCGAGAGGGGGGGGGGGGGCACACCACCAGGGGGATCCCCCCTGGCTCCTCCCGCTGGTGGTCCCTGGTGGTGGTGGCGTCGTTTTCTCCAGACCCCCGACGCTATGATTTTTTCATAACGTCGACTCCCAGAAGTGTCGACCCATCCCTCGGGACCACTTTTTCAACCTGAGTCGCTTTTGGACGGTCCCGAGGCCCGGGAAGGGCCCCAGCAGAGGCAGAACATTCGAAACACCTTGTTTTCAACGCGAGGGGGTCAGGACCCCTTGGCTCCTCCCGCTGGTGGTCCCTGGTGGCGGTGGTATGGTTTGTCCTTGTTCCTGCCACAGGAGTAGGAGATCGACTACAGAATTGCTTCGCGTAACCCCGCCAGCCCATCCAGAAGCGATGCGCAGACGAGTTGCCCTGATCAGGAATGTGGACGAGCATGCAGTGGAATAAAGGAAGGGCTGGGTAAGACATCGTACCCGAAGAGGGAGACGACGGAGGAGGAATCGGAGGAGCAGGAGGAGGAGCAGGAGGAGGAGGAGGAGGAGGAGGAGGAGGAGGAGGAGAAGGGTAGGCGGGATGAGGAAGGAGGAGGAATAGGCGGATGAGGAAGAGGAGGAGGAGGAGGAGGAGGAGGAGGAAGAGGAGGAGGAGGAGGAGGGAGGAGGTGGAGGAGGACGAGCAGACCAGCCAGAAGCATCGTGGATGCCTCTCGGAGTCTCTTCGGATTTCTTCCGAGAGCTTCTTGGAGTCCTCCTGGGATTTCTTGGGGGTCTCTTGGCAGTCCTGGGGGGCTCTTGGGGCGTCTTGGGCGCCTTTGGGGAGCCTCTTGTGACCTCTTCGGGGAGTCTTGGGTGTCTTGGGGACCTCATAGGGCCATCCTGGGGGTCTCTTAGGGGCCTTTTGGGGCCTCCTGGGCAGCTCTCGGGGCCGTCTTCAGGCAGCCTTGAGAACGTCGGGGGCCATCTTGGGGCCATCTTGAAAGGGGATCAGTCAAAGGAGAAGCCATAGTACATTAGGGCCCATACCGAGGAGGCCAACATGTGGCCAAAACCTTGGGAAGATCAATGAGTTGTGCTTCCTCTCTGGGGCCTCCTGGGGCGTCTTGGGTGCCTCTCGGTGGCCACTCGGTGGCCTCTTGGGGCCTCTTGGGGGTGTCTTGGAAGCCTCTTGAGGGCCTCTTGGGGGCCTCTTGGGGGCCTCCGGGGCACCTCTTGGGCCGTCTTGGGGCGCCCTTGGGAGCCTCGAGGCCATCTTCGGGCCACCTTGGAGGAGATCGACCAGAGAAGGAGGATTCCTCAATTACGCCCTCCCCCCAGGAGGCCACAATGTCGCCGTCTTGGGTGCCTCTGGGGGGCCTCTTGGGGCCTCTTGCAGCATCTTGCGGGCCCCTTGGTGCCTCCTGGGGGCACCTTGGGGCAGTCTTGGGGCACCCTTGGGAGCCTTGGGGACCATCTCTGGACCATCATGAAGGAGATCGATCGAAGTAGGGGAGCTCCCCCATGAGGGTCCCCCCCCAGGAGGCCAACATGTGGGGCCAACAACTAAGGGACATCACTGATTTGGGCTTCCTCGTCGAGGCCATCTGGGGACGCTCTAGCGACCCGCGAGACGCCCCCCTCCAGACCCAGGGGGAGGGGGACGGGGAGGAGTACCCATCGGTCGTTGAAAGTATGTGTTTTTGGAGTCCCAGATTCCCATCTACTTTACGCGCCTTCCCACTTCAATGATCGAGCGGCTTCACCTGTTCCGTCCTCCCGAGGGGGCGGACGGAACCCACTCTACTTTCAACGCTTTCCTGCCTGCTTCTTCCGACCGATGTGTACCTATCTTCCCGGGGCGCAGCCCTCCTGGCGAGGCCGACGACCCCGACCGCGCGGAGCGCGCGCGCCGCTCTCGGGCGCGACCCGCGATCGCGGGCGCGGCAAGCGGCGGCGAGAGGCCCCGCAGACCTGGGCTGTGCACGGATCGGGCGCTGCCAGGACTGAGGTCCCAGATTCCCCCTCTCGGGTCATGACAAGATCGCGACTGGCATTTTCTCGACCCAGACATGATCACGTCGTAAAGAAATCAGGACGGGAGGTTTTTGGCAAATTTCGGCCTCGGGGGGCCCTCGCCGAGCCTCGGGCCCGTCAGAAAGCGACTGAGGATGAAAACCAGCCCCAGGGGAAGGGTTTCACTTCTGGGGACACCGTCCTGGAAAAATCAAGCGTCGCATGTCTGGGGTGCTATTTTCAGGCTCTGGGGGCCCTCACCGGGCCTCGAGGCCGTCCACAGGACGACTCAGAACGAAGAGTCGGTCCCAGGGAACGGGTCGAGACCTTTGGGGGTCGACGTCTTGCAAAGATCATGACGTTGGGGGTCTGGGATGATGGGTTCGCATTTGCACCGCAACGGGAGTTTTCGCCGGACTTCCAGCCCAAGGACCACCACACATTTATCGATCCCACTCGAGGATGATGATGCCACAGAGAAAGATTCAGCTTGGGGCTCTGGTCGTGATTCTTCGCTGTGTTGCGCAAGTTTTGCGCGGTCGCGGATCCCGGGAGTTGCGGGAAAGGTGGATGTCCATATCCACCGCGTTTAGGACGTCCTGGAAAGGGGCGCACTTGGACATGGATAAACATCGAGCCTGTAGTGGCCACATGTTCATCCATATATCCACTGCGCCCATGGTTGTTGGGGAAGGGGGCCCGAGACTTCATGACGCATTGGATGTTGATGCAGACCTTGCCCGCAGGGGGTGTCCTCAGACATGCGATGTCCGGATGTTTCAGATACTTACGGGGCCCCTGGAAGTCCCGACCCTTGCCCCAGACGTGGTTCTTCGTCCTGAGTTGTCCTTTCATGGTCCCGGGACCTGGTAGTTACGGGCCTCCAGAGGCCGAGAATGAAGAACAACTGCCCGTTGTTATCCATAAGGGCTTCGCCCCCTGCCGCCGGCCCCCTCTCTCGGAGAATGGGCTATGCAAGAGCTAAGTCATGAGGCCTCGGCGCCGCCGTGAAGCAGCATCGGCAAGAGAAAGTGATATTCTGATGATATTGTTGAACTCAGTGTTGCATTTTGGACCTGCCCCCGTATACTGTGCACTGAGGTTTCCCACATAATTTCGGACATGTTGCAAATCCCATTGGTTGTTTCACAGGTTTATGGGTTCGGAGACGCGAGCATTGCGTAACTTACGAAGGTTTATGGATTCGGATACGCGAATCAAGTGTAAAGTGCGAAGGTGTATGGCTTCGGAGACGCGAACATTAAATAATTGTCCATGGCCTATTCCAACGGGAACGCCACAATTGCCTAATTTACGATGGGTTATGGCTTCGGAGACGCGACTATATCGTAATGTCTGAGGGTTTATGGCTTCGGGGACACGAATCTTGTTTGATTTACGAGCGTTTCGAAAATGTCATATGTTGCGAGGGTTTATGGTTTCGGGGACGCGGATACTGTGTAATTCGCGAGGGCTTATGGCCTCGGGGACGCGAATATGGCGTAATTTAGGCGGGTTTATGGCCTCGGGGGCGCGAATTTCATGTATTCTTACATGTCCCACGCCCCCTCTCAGAAATTCTGAGACCCCTCCCGGGAGGTGCTAACCAGGGTGCCTTTCGGCTCCCCCCCCCTCGCGCGGTCTACAACAAGGACCAGTAAGCAACAAGAAACAGAACTGTAACAGTGGAAACTGGAAGCTGGAACTGGCGCAGGGAACAGCAAACCCTCAGCCTACAGCCTGGTGGCCCCGCAAGGAGGCCGGCGGATTTATTGCTCGTGACTCCAGGAGGTCCTGGAGAGGGGGGTCCCCAGCTTCTTGCTTGTGTGCCTCGAGATCGAGTGGGGTCTCCATCTATGGAGGCCGCGGGCCCGGCGCCGTGCGGTTTTGCCTGCATCTTTCGAGTTCGTACACAGGGCCCCCAACGGTGTTCCGACGCCGCCGTGCAGGGAGTATTCGTTGCGTCCATAGGTACTGCAACTTCCCAGACAGGTTCGCGTCGCGGACAAATCGGGACGGGAGGTTTTGGGTCGTTTTCGGCCTCTGCGGGCCCTCTCAGGGCCCACGGACCGTCAAGAAACGACTCGGGGAGAGAAACTGGCCGCCCAGGGGCAAGGTCGGGACCTCCGGTTACCCCGTATTGAAAAAGTCTGGACATTCCCTTGAAACCCGTGGCGCAGTGGATATGCATAACTGCGTTGCGCTTTGGTCTTTCGGCCCCCTTTCCAGCACGTCCAAGGCGCACTGGATCTGAATATATATATATATATATATATATATATATACACACAAGACTACAGTGGCGCTTCGCGCCATGCACCTTGGTCCTTGAAGTTTGGTATGCAGGCGGAATGGCAGGAAGGTCAAGCCGACAATTTAGCGATAACTCCTGGTTGCCTTTTTCCGGCATCGCCGCTATAGTGATGTTATTCGTTATTCTTCCTCCATGGTTATTGTTCCTTATTTCCGCCATACCCTGCGCATTCTCCCCATTCTCCTCAGCTCTTTTTTGCGGAGGCTCCTCCTTGGAGAGCCTCTAGGGGCCACACAAAAGTTGTTTCGGGCTTTCTTAAGGCCTTCTGGAGGCCTCCTGGGCGTATTCTGGGGGCCTCCGGGGGTTTCCTCGGGCCACGCTGCCTCCAACCGCCATCTCCCTGAACGACCGAATCACGATTTGGAATTCTTCGGAGGGTGTCTTTGGGCTATCTTGGGCCGCCATGGGGCTCTCTGAGGGCCATCTTGGACCCGTGTTGTGCCGTTTTGGGGTTTTCTTGGACTGCCTGGAAGCCCTTTCGGATGGTTGTGGGGCGATTGGGGAACCTCCCAGGCGGCTTCGGACGCTCAGAAGACCGCCGTCTTGGAGCGTCGGGAAGCCGAAAAGAGGAGAACCTCACAATTCACCAAAAACCCAGAGAAAATCAATGATTTTTGCCTCGGGGGGCCTTCTTGGGAGTGCTCTTGGAGGCCTCTTTGGGGCCGTCCTGGAGGCCTCTTGGGCCATCTTGAGGTCACGTCGGTCACTCTTGGAGCGCTCTTGTGCTGTCTTGGGTGTCTCTGGGACGTCTTCGATGACCCCCCTGATCGCCCTAAGTGTGCTGGGAAGGCTTGGCAAAACGCCTTGCGAGGCCCGGTGGCCGCTTCAAAGCCCGTCCGGAGGGCCCCAAAGCCCCAGGTCCCGGGAGTCCGGTTTTTTTTTGGGGGGGGACGGGTTTTCCCCCCGCCAGGGCTTATAAAAATATAGGAAGAGGGATAATATATATATATATATATATATATATATATATATATATAATCTCTATATATATATATATATTATGTATTGCCAACACTTTCCAGGGACCGGGGTTTCATCCTGAGTTGTTTTGTTGACCGTCCCGGGGCCTGGCACAAGGGCCCCGAGGCCCAAAACGACCAAAGACCTCCACTTTTCGTCGGTTTACAGGACGGGAGCATGTCATCACACCCTCAACACAAAACTTGACGGCTGGTACCATGGCGAATGCACATTACATTGGCAAGCCCGTCCAGGGGTCGGATACCACAGCAATGGATACCGCGAATCACGGCTGGATATGTGATGAGGACAGCATTCTTTCGGGGGGGCCCAAACGGGGTGGTGACCACACCGTGTGGTGAGTCGGTAGGGATTCGGGGTCACAGCACGGTTTTGGGACTCGGGTCGTTCTCCGGGGACATCTCGGGCGACTGGGGCATCCGAGGTCCCAAAACCGTGCGTTGACGGACCGTGCGGTGAGGTCTTGGGGGATTTCGAGGTCACCGCACGGTCTGTCGCCGCGCCGTTTCGGGACTCCAAATTCTTGATTGCTTCGGCCCACGCTGCCAGGTAGGCGTCGGTGTGGACCCCGACAGAGCGCGCAAACTCGGGCTGAAGGTCGCGTCGCCTGGACAGTCGAGGAAGCGCGCCACCGACGCCACTTGCACCGAGATGCCTCTAAACACGACGCTGACCGACAGGCACAGAGGGGGCCCATGCCAAGAAACACCTTGCTCGCCTCCAGCGTGGTTTCGATGGTTTTGCTGTGGAAAGCGTGACGTCCCCACACCAAAAATCCATGGACGTCCTGGGGTCTCAGGGTTGGGATTCTGGTGGAAGGTTTCTGGTGGACGGGCCTCCACTGTACCTCAAATCTGCAAATCGCCATGCAAGTTTGTCGAGCCGGTTTTGTCCCGCACGGGTATTAGAGTATCGTTTAACCGATCCACATCCCCAGCGGCGTGGCCTGGGCTCCACTGGCCGTTTTACCCCCCTAGATGGGGATATGGGCCATTCCCTTCGGGCTTCGAGGGGTGTATCCCCAACTGGGGTGGTAATTTGGGCGGGGTCTCGAAGGGGATGAGGATGGGGATGGGGGTCGCTTAAACGATACTGCGCGTTGCCGCCCCCAAGTTGCACGGCGTCGGGGGCAGCGCAGGTCGAACGTGCTCCGGCGCGCGCTTCGGTCCCCGCGGAGTGCCGGCGCCCCACGGGAGGCCGCGGGGCGGCCGCGGCAAGATCAGCAAGGTCAGGCTGGTGTTGAGCTGGTATTCGGAAATAGTCCACAGCTAGTCTGGGGACGATTTTTTCCATTTTGGACAAATTGTTTGATCATTGTTTGATTATTGTTTCCCTTTTCGTCCAAAATCCGCCTGTGGGGGGACATGCCCGACCTCAGACTGGTGAGTGGCCCCGCCATCATGGCCACGTCTGGGGGCGGGATACGATGGTTTGCTCTGGCCGAGCGCCGCGCGCGCGCTTTCCCAGCACCGCCTGGGTTCATCCAGATCGCGTTGAGCAATCCCGAGGCGAAGGAGTCGTAGACTGATCTTGAGGTTATCCGCTCAGGCTGCCGCAATGCCCATGCATGTGTTCTGGCGCGTTCAACTGCGCTTGATGTTCCGTATTGGAGCGGTCTTGGGGCCTTTTGGGGCATCTTGGGAGCCATTTGGAGCTAGCTTGGACTATCTTGAGCCATCTTGGAGGTCATCTTGGGCTCTCTGAGGCCCCTCGGGGGCCGCTCGGGGGCCTCTTGGGGACCTCTCGGGTGCTTTTGGAGGCCTCTTGGGGTTTCTTGGGGCGCTCTTTGGGCCCTCTTGGGAGCCTCTTGGGAGTCCTGGAGGGCCTCTAGGGCCCATCTCGGAGGCGGTCGGTCAAAAGAGGGGGGGTACTCGATTTGCTTCCCCCCCTCGGGGGCCAAAATCCTTGTGAGGGGTGGCAAAAATGGCCCTCCCAATGGCCAACAACGGAGCCTCCGACACCTCGCGATTCCTCCAAAAAAACCTGAGGGAGGGGAGGGGGAGGGTTCCCCTCCCCGAAGGGAAGAGGGGTTGTGTAAGAGCGGCCCACGCGGATTGTCGCGCGATTGTCGCGCGATTGCGCGCAGGTGCGCCTGAGTTGCGGCGCGCGGGATGGCCCGCCGTTGACGGGCCAGCGTATGTTGGCAACCAGCAACCAGGCAAGTGGCCACGATGGTGGTTTCGACAAGGCACCGCGCGATGCACTCGCAACCTAGGTCGGACGCAGCACCCGCCGCGCAAGCCGTGGATCGGTGATTTCGCGGGGCGCGTGAAGGCGGGGCCCAGCGACGGCGAGTTCACCCGCGCGCTCGGAAAGGCCGCGAAAGCACTCGCCCCGACGACGGCGGGTGACAAGATGCACATGGACTGCGGAGAATAATTGGCGCACGTCAATGCGGTGGGGGAGAAATTCGGCAAACGGGGAGAAGTATCAACGCGCGCTGAATGCGGCCATCTTGGCCAACGTGACAGGCGGCAAGGCGGCCGATGGCATCTACAAGACGTTCACCAAGCCCAGGCTCATTAGCCTGCTGGGGAAGAAGAAATGACGCGACGCGAAGCCAGCCGAGGTGTTCCTGGAGCACGCGCGCGCCCCGTTGCAGACGGTTGGCGTGGACCGCTCTGGCGCACTCAAGCTGATTGCCAGGGATGATGCGAGGGTGGTATACATGCTTTTCGAACAGGCACAACGGGCATGACAAGACTTTCGGCGGCGCCGACGACGTCATCGAGGCGCGTCGGGCGCCCGTCGGGTGGCGCAACGAAGGGCGCGCTCCCATCGCGTCCTTCTCGCGCCCCCGTGCGGCGCGCTTTGGCGCGCCCTGCGTCGCAGGCACTCCTGAAAGCGATCGATGGCAAGCCGGCGGACAGACTGGCGGCGTTCGGAGTCGCCGCAAGGATGCCCTTGGCGGTCGCATCGAAGAAGACTCACGCGCGCTCTGGAGGCGGAGCGCCGCCCGGCGTCACGCCGTGCGCGCCGCCGCGAGCGTGGCGGGCACGAGGGGCGAGCTGTGCCGCGCGGGGATTGGCCGGGCTCCGGGGGGTCGCGCTCTGCAGAACGAGAGGGGCGGCCGGCCACCTGGTGCGCCAGATCTCGGCGATCGCCGTGGCGAGCGAGGATGTTGGCCGCTGGATTGACAGCGAGCGTCAGGGCGAGTCCGAGTGGATCGGCCCCACAGATGTCCGGGAGAAGAGGCCGATCGAGAAACGGTAGCAACCGATCGCGAAGGTCGCCGCCGAGATGTTGCCGGCTTCCAAGGTGATGGCCGAAGCGAGCAATTGCGAAGCCACGACTGGCGTGCTGAACAAGGGCCAGATGTACACGCAACCCAACGGGCGAAGAGCAAGCGGGAGTTCGATGCAACAGAGCTTTGAATAATACAGCTTTCGCTGATCCACTGCTTGCGTTGGTTGCTCGCGCAGTCGAGCTCGGCGCCGCCAACGAAACGCGCGCGCAGTACGTGGGCGGGCGGGCGCGAGCCTGGCTGCCCACAATTCGCGCGCATCTGTAGGTCAAGCGCGTCGCGCTGGGAAGACTTGACGGGCCGCGAATAACGTACGTGATGCTGTAACATGCTACCACGACAATGCCCATGCTGTGGTTTTCGTGGGGCTCGTCTCACAAGACGGTGCCGCTGCGCGATGGCCATTCTCATCGACGCGCGCCCACTTCTCACCCGCGCGCGTGGGGGCCGGGCGACGCGTGGGCCCGCGCGCGGTTCTGCAGATTCTTTTCGGGTGGCCACGACGCAGGAAGGCGGCGGCATCGTGCTCCTGAGCGGGGGGAAGCTTGGGGTCAACGATGTGTCTGTGCATCCCCAATTGGCAGCGACCCAGGTGAAGGTTGCGGGTCAGCCATGCCCAGCCGTCAACTGGCACAGTCCCGTTCAGGGCGTTGCCGATGATGTCGTTTCGGCGGCGCCGTCGGCAGCAATGGGATGCGGGAGCGTGCCCTTCCCGCCGCCCCTCCCTTCATTCATGCATTCCTGTTTGCTTGTCCGCCGCTCTAGATTCGCGGAACACAAGCGGAGTTATTAATGCGCCCTGCAGCTCCAGTGATCAAATCCTCGATCCTCTGTGCCACCAGCGCGCCGTGACCAACTATGGGCTTGTGGATGATGAGCAAGATTTGCGGAAGACGATCAATGGAGAGTCAACATGCTGCCCAATAATTTCAAACATGTTTCATACATGTTTTGAACAGGTACAGCACATGCTTCTTGAAAATTTCTTGAAACATGCCAATCACATCTTCATTTCAATGATAGGATTGTTAGAGTGTCCATTGTTATGGCATCCACAAAGCAAGATGGGCATGACGATGAGGGGGGCCAGTAAGAGGACGAACATGACGAGCATTGCGATGATTATGAAGATGACGAGGGGCTGGGAGCAGGATGGACCAGAATATTCTAATGAGATGGCGACGGCTGAATCGCTTGAGGAGAGGAGGCGTGGACCACAGAGGGCGACAAGCGCTGGCCATACTATTGTTTGGGTCCTCACGACGTGAGCCATTCTGCGGGTCTTCCTGACGTTCTCCAGCAGGGGTTGTCTTGATACCTTTGAGGAGCTCTCCTGAGACTCTGCAGTCAATTGAGGGCCCCCCGCAAGAATCTTAGGATGCCTTCTTTATTCTGGAAAGCACCCTTTGAAGACCTTAAAGGTGTCATCCCGGTACCCCTGCTTGCATACAGAGAAACACTTCTGTTTTATATTGAGAAGTGCTTTCCAAGTACCTGGCGAACAAAAACTCAGCAGTGTACAAAGTACGTAGTTTTGACTTACGAGGTACTTAAACAAGACTTGACGCAGCAATTTAGAAGAGATGTAGTCCGACATGTTGAAGACACTTAGCGAATCGAGCTAAGCATTCAGCCACGCGAGCTAAGTACTGAACTGAGTGCTTCGCCGTGACCCAGAAGAAACTTAGTAGTATACTCAGCAGGAGACTCACGATACATTGTGAACAGCCTCGATTAAGGGTTTGGCAAATTACTTCGATGTATGCGAGAAGTACTTAAAGCAGTCTGCTGAATAGTTGCAAGAGCCCTCGACCACCTTCCGGCCCCAGAACCATCAAAACGACACCGGATGAAACACCGGCCCTTGGACCTGAGGTTCCGGGGGGCCCACCTCACGGAAACATTACAACGGCTGAACAGGAGGAGGAAGAGGAGGTGGAGGTGGCTTTGCGCTGGATCGAATGGGTAATCAAGGATTGAGGTTTGGGTGGTTCGTCTGCATATTCAGGCCTCTGGGAGGCTTCCCGTCGACGTCCGGACCAGCCTCGAGATCCAAGCAAGAACGAGTCCTTGGACAATTGAGGCAGGGGATATGTTGATTTTGCGGAGGACCTCAAACTTGCAGCGACTCGGAAATTTCGCGCCGGAGATCTTTCGCCATTTCTCCCTTCGGAGGCCGCTTGCAGGCCCAGGGCACCGTCAAGAGCGTTCACTGCAGGACGAATTATCGGTGCCAGGGAAGACTCCCGGGCTCCAGGGGCGGTTGTCTGGATTCGCGTGAGTTGTGCAACTATATCTATACAGCTTTGTGTTTTAAAGCTCGATCTCTCGGCGTGCGTCTTTTGTGATTGCCTGCGTTGATAGACGCAGTATGGCCGCCCACGCGACCACCTATTATCGATCGGATCGCTAGATGGTGATTTACAGGATTGCCGCGTAGCTGGCCAGACTCCGAGGCTCTGTCGCCTTGTGTCCAGCGTGCTGGTGGACGCCGAGGAGCTGCCAGCGCCAGAAATAGCAGTGCTGCCCTTGATCGACGAGCTGAAGCCTGCGCACAGCAAATCGCCGGCGAGGCGATTCGTGCGGTGCACCCTCGAGGAATTGGCGAGGCGAGACGCGGCACTGGTTGTCGACCTCGCACTCCAGGCGCAGCTCTTCCCCACGGTAGCAGAGGAGGCGGAGTCGGTGGTGCCCCCACCTGAGGCATACAAGCCGCTGCTGTCGGTGGTGCGCCAGCTCTTCGAGGTCGACCGGGCGCTGGTGGCTCGCACGTTGCCGAGGTTGGGCGCGCTGCTCCGCTGCAGGGACGCGGAGTGCCGCGGCGCGGTGACGCGCCTCTTTGGCAGGCTCCTCGCGCACCCCTTCGCCGAGGGCGGCGCGGCGCAGGCTGCGGCGCCCGCGGCGCATCCGCTGCCGGCGCAGGCCGCGCTGCTGGCGACGCACCCGCTGCTGCTGGAGGGATTCCTCGAGCGCTTCGACGACGGCGAGGCCCTGGTGCGGCTGGCCGCACTGAAGGGTGGCGCCGCACTGCTCGCGGCCGCGGCGGCGTTGGTGCGCGAGGGCCGCGTGCGCTGGGGCGGGGAGGCGCGGGGGCTGATGGGTGGCACGGGCGACGACCAGGCGCTCGTCGACGCCGCCGGCGAGGCGGCCGCCCGGCTTGTGCAGCGGCGGCTGGATCCGGACGAGGGCGTCCGGTTGCGGGTGGTGGAGGTCGCCACCGAGGCCGCGGAGGGCGCGCGGTCGGCTGACGAGCTGCGGTTGGTGGAGGAGGCGCTGCCGCTCATCTTCGAGCGCGTGCTGGACAGGCGGGGGCCCAAGCTCCGGGAGGCGTGCGCCAGGTGCATGGCGCAGCTCTTTGCCAAGCACGCACGGAGCCGGTGGACGAGCGGCGAGGACTCATTGGGAATGCTGAGGCAGGCCCCCCAGGAAGTCCCAGCGAAAAACACGGGGCGGCCTGAACACCTCCACACCTGGGGCGCGGAGCGCCCCAAGGGCGCCGCAGGAGGCGGCACCAGGGTGTTGAGACCGCCCACGACTGCTCGGGGGGCTCGTTGAAGCCAGCCAAGACTACCTTGGGGGGTCTGCCTGCGCGCACCCCGAAGCCTTAGCCGTTGGTCGTTGAAAGTAGATATTTTTGGATTCTCAGATCCCGATTCATTTCAAGCGCCTTCCTACTTTAAGAATCGATATGGTTTTGCTGTGTTTCGTTATTCTCTGGGAGAGCCTGAGTCCAATCTACTTGATCCGCCTTCCAACTTCATGTTTTGTTTCATATTTCTTCCGACCGACGGGCACCCGCAAGGAGGCGACTGGCTGGGAGTGGGTGCCCCGCCTCCTGTGCCAGGCGTACTCCGTTTTCCTCGCGAGCCACACGGGGGGCGTGGCGCTGCTGGAGGAGCTCATCGAGGTGCACCTGTTGGGCTGCGCGATGGCGGGCGATGCGGCGTCCCAGGCTCGGGCCCTCCGTGGGCTCTTCGAAGCCGCCTGCGAGCAGGATCGGCTACACATGAGAGTGACCTTTCTCGCCAGAGTGACCTTTGGTGCGGGGCTCAACGGAGCCCCCAGATCGCCGAATTCGATGCGATGGTAGCGTCTTGAGCGCTTGTGTTTGGTCCCCCCGCGGCCCCCCAAAAGGCGCGCAGCAACGGTCACTCAGTGACTCTTGCGTGTAGCCGACAGGAGGACTCAGCCGCTGGCTTGCGGCTCCTGCTCTGTCGGAAGCGGGACGCCAACGCTGCCCTGTGGCAGTTTCTGAGGCGCCGAAGGTCAGAGGAGGGCGAGTTTGCATAGATTTTCGCTTCTTGCGGAGTCACGACGTTGGAGGCCTAGAGCTTGACATCAACATCAATATCGGCGGTGTGCATCCACCGAGGGAAGATGCTCCCAATCTCAGCGATGGTCGTAATGTTCGGGCTTCCTGGTGGCCGGCATGTTAGCACCAACACCGAAGTCTAGGATCATCTTCTCCCAGTGGAGGCAGCCCCGTGTGGTGATGTTGGTGACCATTTCGGGG